CACAATGCAAAAGGGCTATGATGAATGTAGTTCATCTGCAAGTCACAATAGAATATACTGCGAGGATGAGGGATCATTTATGAACATGCAACATGTCATTAACAAGCAAGGACCGAAGAGCGCAACAAAATGCATAAGGAGCTTGTGATGAATGCAGGCACTTACAAGCCATTGCAGGTGATTCGTTAATGAACGACAATTTACCTGCATAAAGTAGCAAATAACCCAAAATATCACACACTATGATTCACATGTAAGCAAAAGGATGGAATCCATAGTAAAAACTATAGGCCATTGGTAAACTGAAGCAACAAATTCGCAAGACTAGGTTGTCACGTCGAATAGATCAATTCACTTGCAGACGATAGGTGGAAAGTTGTTGATGCATCGTTTGCAGGTTGAACATTGACGAAGATGACAAGTAGAAGTGAATGAGCCAAACTGCATTGTCAAAAGCGCTACAAATAAAATTTAACGCGTTGCTACACCATGTCACCAAATCTATAACAAGCAAACAAGCGGGCAGAAGGCGCCAAAAAATTCCAAAACAAAACCCTGCAGACTTATCAATAGGGGTCATTTGCATAGTTTGTCGTTGCAAAAACATCTCCCCCTCGTGCATCAAAATGGGCACTGACACATTCGTAGCATATATGTATTTATAATATGTAGGAGCATCATGCAAATATATCACCCGATATGCAAAATGCACCACACCTTAGCAATACATTACTTTAGCATGCAAACTGCATTATGCACATAGACACTAACTTATAAAATTGCATACAAAAGTATATACTGGTATGGGCCCCAACAAACGTGTCGTATGCACACATGTGACTTCTGAGGATGTTACGCAACTGAACCCAAATTCAAGCCCGATCCTTCTATGTGAACAGATAGGAGTCGGCAATGCCCGAACAATCGAACAAATATATGGTTGCGGCATCGACCAGGATATTATTAATGCATTTATATTAAGCCTTCAAAGTCTATAATAAAAAAATTTACTTATAGAGACGGCCTATGACGAACTCGATTCTCTGTTAGCAAGTAGGCAGAATCGACAAGGTTCAACCAAGAATAAAAATGGCCATGAAAATCACGATGTTGACTGTGTTGACAAAAAATCTCAATCGAATAAGATCCGAAATATTTAAAGATGCCTCTCAAATTCCATAAAAATTTCAGAATTTAAAAATCAGCAAAACCTAAAATATTTAAAATTGAAATGAAAACACCAAAACATTTAAAGCAAAAAAATACCCATATGCACTTCACAATAGTTTGCCAAGGTGGATAAATATGAAAACTACTTCAACCCACAAAGAGCAAATGTCTGATTGAGAATATCACAATGATGCATTCTCAATCTGTCTGTTACCAGTAAGGATGTGGCACGTGTTCTCCAACTGATGGTTTCACTGCCAAATGACACCACACCAATGATTTTGCCGCTAAATGGCACCACAGATAAATAATTATGACCGAGAACCTTTGACCGGGTGGTTTCACTGCCAAATGGCACCATTATATTAGGTCATGGTCATAGCCCTTCTGTTCCCCAATGGCTTTAAATCATTAAACAATGAATCAATAGGATATAATTAATAGGGCACAAACCCTTTGTTAACTAAGATGGATTCAAATTTGTTCTCTTAGACAAATATTACCCCAAGTTTACAAGGTAAGCTTGGACGAAGTAACCCATGACTGCCAATAAGGATCCTTCTGTCAGGTTGGGTCGACTACCTCCTCTGACTAAGTAGAACAGGGACCATGATAACCCGGGACGATGCAACCATGGGATCTTGATCATGTCTATCATCATTCTCTCCACTAACCACTTTAAGCACAAGATGGTAAATTTCTAATTTTGAATATTAAATCTCCAAATACCTAAATCATGCTCCTACTATATGTCGGATACTACTTATATATTTAACGACCAGCCTTGATCGAAAGTTCTCTCTCATTATCGAGAGAGATAATTAACTATAGGGACTTGCGCCTATAAGAAACCAAAACTCAGATCATAAAATCCTCGCAAAATGAGGACGAAATCTCTGGGTAGTGTCTTATTTACAACCCAATCTGCATTCTGAAAATTGGCCTCGAAACTTCTCCTTGACAACTAGAAAAAAAATAAAATAAAAGGAGGTCGCGGAGAGACCGGGGATCAAATTTTCGAAGCCCACATTGCCATTTCGCTAAGTCATGGGCGAAGCATAATTTAATCTCAATTTCAAATTTACTGCTATTTGATGCAATTACTTATTTGGAAGAAACCCTAAACAGAAATTACTACATTAATGTATCTCTAGCAGGTTTTTTTCTTTAACAATCACAGAAAATTGAACAGGGGTTTGTTCAATAATAACATGGGTAATTCATACTTTAGTACCCATAAGTTGGCTCTACTATCACTTTGGTCCCTACAATTTCAGTTGTCCAAATAAATCCCTATAATTTAAAATGATCACAATCATATCCAAAACTCAAATGGTATAATAGACAAAGTTAAATTTCATCCGAAAGAAATGGAAGAATGCTAACTCATCGTGTGGTAACTACTACCTAAATACTTCTTCATTCATTCAATTCAATTCATCATCATCTTCACTGAAGATGAACGGAAGAACAAGTATCATTGAAGCAGTCAGGCACAAATCAAAGTATTGCGACCTACAATTGCAGTATTTTGGCAACTTTTATGTTGGTGGTGGGTCAGATGGGACAAGTCAATATTCATTCATTTTGTTTAGACGAATTTTAGCTTTATTAGTTAAGTCATTGGAGTTTTAGAAGCAATTGTGATAATTTTAAATTATGGACACTTGATTGGGGCCATTGAAATTGTAGGGACTTAAAAATAGACTACATAACAAAAATTTTATACAAGTTAATCTGGTGTGTCTATATATATAGTCACTACATATAGTCACCATGAACACTCTTAAAATCTCTGGATAGTGTCTTATTTACAACCTAGATTATATACAAGTTAATCTGGTGTGTCTACATATAGTCACCATGAACACTCTTAAAATCTTCTATCAATCTACCAACATATTCATTTAAATCTCTTTCAATAATGATTTCTTCAAGATGTATCTTTTGTAATATTTTTTTCTAAGTCATTCCAAAATTTTAATTTTGAACACATATTTAAACCTACTTAATAAGCATCAGTACTTATGATATTAATAATCTTAGCATCAAAATTATAATTTTATCTCCAATTCTATTAATTTCTATGACATTATTCTTCAAACTTTTAGCTATAATAACACCTATACCATTTCTAATACAACTATCAATACCATAATTTAAATTATAAACTATAAATCTTCTTAGCCTTCTCTTCAATTCATTTAGTTTCTTGAATGCATAGAGTATTTATCTTTCTATGAATTATAATATCTATTAATTCCATTAATTTGTTTATAAGAAAACCTATATTCCAAGTCTTGTCCTAATTATAGATTCATAAACTAGCTTATTTGCCCACATCCGTCCATTATGTGGGAATCATTACTTATTTAACATTGCACTAAGACTCTAGTGCACCAATCCGTACACACGTCTAGCTATATTCAGGTCATAAAATGCGTCACTTTCAAGTAATGTCCTAATATTAACATAATGTATTAAAGAATTCATGCCATAATAATTCGATAAGTTTTATACTGACTGTCAACTACATAACGTCACCATTTACTTTTCTCATCTAAGACTTGGGACCTAGCAATGATAGTGTTGAACCAGAGGAAACTCAATTAAAAAAAAGAGGGGTTCAGTAATTAAAAATGTAAGCATGATACATCTAACATTTACAAGAACTAAACCTAAGAACACAGATGATATTTAGTATTATAATTTCATAAACATAAGCTGCCGCAAAGTTTCATTGAAACGAGCATAGTGAATTATAAACTAGAAAATAGAAGCCATCCACCCCATGCAAAACGTGGCTTGCTATACAATAGCATTGAATGCATAGTTTGGCATTATGACAGGGATCAGTACAAAATCATACTTTCCATTGAAAAAAAAAACTATTGAAGTGACCATGTTTCAACCATCCGCAAGACCGGACCTCTTGCAATCTCAAACCAGTCAATTTGGTTCTAGAAAAAGGCATGTATTATAATGACAAAGTAGAAATGCAGATAATGTAAATGATGCTCAAGTTGGCTAACAGTTTGATTTTAAAATACATGTTTCTCTATCAAATATGTATCATATTTTCTAAGCTTAAACAAATATTCAAGATGGTTTGAAGCTTCTACTCCGCAAGACAGACGCAACTGCCAATAACACATATTATGTATATCAATAAGAACTGGATGCAACATGATGAAAAGTTACATATTTCAGCAGTGAAAATGCAAGCAGATTGAAAAAATAACAGGTGGAATTCTCATTTTGTAACTCCATATATAAAACCATTAAAAGGCACTTGCAATTACTGGTAAGGCATAACATAGATGACATTTCTTAGAACTCAAAAGTGGTGGCTCAGTAAGAACTGGAAGTTGCTTGGCTCATGTTGCCAGTCAACAGAACTAGAATTTAAGGAGAGAAATTTTCAAAATTACCATGAACAAAAATTAAATCTTCGAGTTGGATAACTTGAAACAAATCAATGTAATAAATTACAAAATTAACATTAGAAGGTGCACAGGACAACAGTCCCTGGAATTTAAGAGGACTAGTTTCCGAAAAGCAGCTTCAACTTGATGTTTAAATATATTTCAAGGTGCAGCATGCAATAGACATTTCCAAGACGATGTCATTATATGGGAGATCAAATTGGGAAATATAGCTCAATATTGAACATTTCCCCATCTTTAGGTCTCTCTGTACTGTCCCAACCGATGCAATACAGTCATGTAAATGTCCTCCTGCATCTGTATTTCTGCCTGCATAATAATTCATGGCTTCTTAAAGGCCTTTTATGATTTAACGAGCATATTATTTTTGTTAAAAATAGGCCTTCACACGTCAAAAATCTTTGCCATCTTGTCCAACATGTCATATATGTCATTTGAACTAGGATGACCTCTATCACCCACTAGAAATTCATGAACCATCCCATCCACTTCAATTAGGCTGCACCCTGGTTCAAGTTCCACTCCTCTAATTTTCATGGTTCGCCTTACAGTGAGCGCATCCTTCCATCTTCCAGTGGATGCATACAAGTTAGCAAAAAGAATATAGCACCCTGGTTCATGTGGTTCCATTTCAATAAGATGCTTCCCGATAGCTTCTCCAGACCCAATATCACCATGGATTCTACAAGCACCAAATAGTGATCCCCAAATTCTATCATTTGGCTCCATAGGCATTTTCTGTATGAATTCCACTGCCTCCATGAAAAGCCCAGCTTTTGCAAGAAGATCCACCATGCAACTATAGTGCTCCACTTTAGGATCAATCTTATAAACTTTCCTCATACTTTCAAAGCATTTGTGCCCTTCAGCGACCATTCCAGAATGACTATAGGCAGATAACAAACAAATGAAGGTCATGTCATCAGGTTGAATTCCCTCATCAACCATGTCAGCAAAAAGCTCCAATGCTTCCTCTCCCCTACCATATAGTCCCAAACCAGCAATCATCGCATTCCACAAATCAACATTTCGTTCTCTTAACGTCTCAAATGTCTGCTTTGCGCTCATAAGATCCCCGCACTTGGCATACATATGGACTAAGCTAGTCTTCAAATTGGAGCTCAAGTATATTTGACTCCTCTCCAAGAAGCCATGCACCCACTTCCCCTCCTGAAGAGCTCCCAACTCTGCCACAGCTACCAATATGCTAACGAGAATCGAATGGCTCGGTTGGACCTTCATGCCCATCATCTCCTGGAACAGAACCAAAGCACTCCCAGGCTGCCGAAACTGGACATACCCTGAAATCATAGCACTCCAAGAAACCAAATTTCGCTCAGGCATTTCATCAAACACCTCCCGCGCAGATATCAAGTTTCCATTTTTCACATACGCTGTCAACAATGCTGTCCAAGACGACACACTGGGCTCCGAATTCTCCCTAAACACATGAAAAGCATCTACAATGGCGCCAAGAGACCCGTAAAAATGGATCAACGAGGCCCGAACAAACTGATCTGAGCTAAACCCGTACTTTAGGATCATGGAATGGAGGGATGCTCCATTCTTGAGTTGACATGTTTGACCCATGGCTTTGAGTAGCAGGGGGAAGGTGTGGTTATTCGGAGTTATATCCAAGTGGAGCATTTCATCGAACAGAAGAAGTGCAAGGGAGGGGAGTTTGTTGCTAACATAAGCATGGAGGAGGGTGTTGTACATGAAGGTGGAACGATGGGCACAGAAGGAGAGTAAAGCGCGCCCCTTTGAGAGGTTGGTGTGATCGGCGAGCAGTAGAGACTCGAGGATGTTTCCGGCGACGAAAGGGTCGTTGATTTGGCCGGAGATAATAGAACGGGCATGGAAGAGAGGAAGAAGGGATTTTGAGAAGAGGATAGGTCTCATGAGCCGGATTCATGACGAATTTTATTACATGCGTCGCGTTGAATGAGACTTCAGCGGAGGGCCAGAAGAACGAAAAATATTCTGTGCGGATGTTGGGATTACGTAGCAAGTTCTGATTGCCCTCTAATTTTCGATATCAACACATAATCATTTCTGTTTTTTTTTTGGAAATTTTGGGCAAAACCTTTCATATATAAAAAAAGATTACAAGTAAAGTAAAAACAGAAATTATAACTCCCAATCTTAAAAAAAGGAGATGAGGAGTTCGAAAAGAAGAAAAATACACAACAGATGAGAGAACTAAAAGGCTAAAAGCCTAAAGGACTCAGGTAGTTCTGGCATTCACGAAAGAGTCGGTTTCACGAGCGGGTCTGGCCATAACAAAAAACCCTGGTTGCCAATTGACCGTCCAAGGGGTAGCTGAGATTTCATCATTCATCATTGTCCTTTCAAAAATATCAACCAAGCTACCTGTAAGGGAGAGACAGTTTACAGGCACCCCAAAATAGAAGGCAGCAAAAACAGCAGCAGTAGGTTCAGCCATCGGCAATATAACTTCAGCAATTCCAAGTATGCTTCCAGCCATAGGTTTTGAGAAAAACAGCTTTTCTAATTTTGGCTATTATCGTGTCTTGACTATCAATAATTCCATCAAAAATCCGCTCATTTCTTGCTCTCCAAAGGTGATAAATAGTGGCAGAAACGAAGAGAAGATAATTAGATTTAATTTGGTTGTTGAAACCTTGCTCAAATATACTATCATAAACTTTATATAAATTTGGTTTCATCAAAAGAGAATTCAGCCAGGGAAGCAAGGATTTAACAACATTAAAGCTGAAGCTGCAGTCATATAATAAGTGGGAGAGAGTTTACTTATCACAGTGACAGAAACAGCAAGTATTATGACTGATAATCCCACGGATAGCTAAGACATCAGAAGTTTTCAGTCCTCCTTTAAAAGCAAGCCAAGCATAAACCGAAAAACAGAGAGAAGCTTTCTTATGTCAAATAAATTTGTACCGGTTAACAGTAACAAGGTTACTAAAAAATTGGTATCGAAAGTCAGCAAACTTAGGATTCTGCTTGCCAAGCCAGTAATGACTCTCCTCTTGGCTGGCAATGTTAACAGCAAGGATGAAAGGGGATATATGGCTATCAAAAAAGGTTGGGATAGCCTAGTTTTCTCCCCAAATAATATCAGCAACTTTCCAGTCAAAATACTGAGTGTATCCAGCAATCATGTTCTTTTGTTTCAAATAAGCAATATAAACACCCCCACACCAAGGGTCCCAAATGACAGAGAGGCAGCTGGTCGGGGCAACCGAAAAAGAGATACAGTTTTTAATACTAGCAGCTTGTTTACTCATGAAATTCCAATATTGAGAGCAATTAACAGCCATAGAGTTCCACAGAGAGTGGTATCTAGCTCTCCACCAACTAAAAACAAATTATTGGTATTTAAAACCCTCCAAATAATAGAGCAAGAAAAGTTATGGTACAGGGAATCAAAAGATGGAATACCCAAACCACCATTTTGTTTAGGATAGCAAGTTTGCTTCCCCAGGAAACAGTTTGGAGCTTTCTTAGATTGATGTTGCCAAAAAAAGTGAACCTTGAACTCATACGACTAATTTGTTTGCAGGAGCTTTTGGGTATTATGGATCCACGAATCCAGTAAGCCAGACTGCTACTTATGGTAAATTTGATGTACTAGACCCTACCCGCAAAAGACAAAGTCTTTGCTTTCCAAACATCTAAAAGAGAGGATACTTTTTGCAAGAGAGGCTGGAAGTGTATAACTTTAAGCTTTTTGTAAAAAACTGGCAGACCCAAATAAGTCATAGGGGTGTAAGATTGTTGAATGTTTAGGATTGCACATATGTTTGAAATCAGAGGTGCATCTTTGGATATCAAAATATAGCTCTTTTGGGGGGTTAATATGAAGACCAGTAATAGCTGCAAAAGTGCAAAAAATAGATTTGAGGGCATGAGCATTGCTGGTGGTGGCCGACCCAAAAATAAGGAGATCATCTGCAAATATCATGTGAGAAATAGAGTAGTTTCCAACCGAGATGCCACTGAAAGATTTGTTAGCAGCTGCCAAATCAAAACAAGAAGATAACCCATCCATAATAATGCTAAAGAGATAAGGGGATAAAGGGCATCCTTGTCTAATACCAGAGGTGGAGTTAAAATACCCTTCAAGCGTCCCATTAATACAAACAGAAAAGTGCACATCCGTAGCGCAAGCCTTGATCCAAGCAATGAACAGTTCAGGAAATCATTTAGCCTCAAGTCTTTGATAAAGAAAGACTCTGGAAATCATATCAAAAGCTTTGGTGATGTCAAATTTTGCACAAAAATACTTATGCTTGGTCTTATGGTTGAAACAGCCAAGAATGTCAGAGGCAAGGAGGATATTATCAGAAATAATTCTTTTATGGATGAAACCACCTTGACTAGGATGGATAATGAAAGGCATCACCTCCTTCAACCTATTAGCAATGATTTTCACAATAATCTTATAGATAACATTACAAAGAGCTATGGGTCTAAAGTCCTTGACATTACTGGCATGAGAATGTTTGGGAATAATTGCAATGGCAGTGGCTTTGATTTGATTGGCCATGTAACTAGTGTTGAAGAAGGAGGAAACAGCTTTGCACATATGGGTTTGAATGGTATTCCAAGTAGCTTTATAAAATTCAAAAGTGAATCCATCCGGTCCAGGAGCAAAGTTGGGCTTGCCATAGAAGACAATGTTCTTAATTTCTTCCATGGTGACCGATGCAGTGAGGTTAGAAATTAGGTGGCTTGGGATTTGTTTGCCCACAGGAATTGCTTGGTAGGTTTGGTTGGAAGTGGTGGGGGCAGAGGTGTTAAAAAGCTTGCTGTAGTGACTAATGAAAACATTGGAAATATCTTTGTGGAGAGAAAAGGTACCATGCTCATTTGTGATCTCCTTGATACGGTTGTGATTTTGAGAGATGTTGATTTTGGAATAGAGGAACTTGAGAGCATCCTCCCCGTTGGTAAGCCATTTCACCTTAGCTCTTAAAGTCATCCAACTAGTGAGAGTAGCTTGATAGTAAGCTAACTTAGTATTAATATCCTTTAGGCGGTAGTTGAGGGGAGGGTCCAAAGGATTAGTTTGGAGTTGAGAAGTCACAATATGCTGTTAGTCTTTGAGAGAATCAATTTGAATTTGAATGGTGTTGGCATTGGACCAAGTCTTATACTTCAAAATGTTTTTAAGAGTCTTAAGCTTGAAGCTGAAAGAGCTTAAAGGACTGCTCTCGTTGGGAAGAGAAAAAACATTTAAGAGGGTGCTCCAAAACTCCGGGTGTTTAATGCTGTAGTTTTTAAACATAAAGCGGGACCATTTTTGGAATCAACATAATTCAAATGAATTAAAGGTGAGTGGTCAGAACAATCAGGGTCGTCCACTTTATAGAAAGAGTTAGGAAAGGATACCATCCATTCATCATTTACCAGCGCACAGTCAAGCTTAATATGGATAGGGTTGTGCTGTTGTTGATTGTGCCAAGTAAAGAAATGCCCCACAGATGAAAGATCCTGCAAACCAGCATTAAACACCATGCTATTAAATTCACCAAGCTTGGCATAGGAGAGGGGGGAGCCACAAAGTTTTTCATCTAGATTACGACAACAGTTGAAATCCCCAATAATAGCCCAGGGGATACTAATAGAACTAGCAATCTCTTGAATGCTCTTCCAAAGAGTCTGCCTTTCTAAGTGTGAATTACTTGCATAGACAGTGGTGACAGCACAAATGGTTTTGCAGTTAACAGAGATAACACCATGAATAAATTGGTTAGACATTTGTTGAGGAGCAAAATAGATAGACTTCTCATTCCACTTAACCCATATACGACCCGGACTAGAGTAACTGAAGTTGTCACAAGTGGCTTCATGCGGAAAATTTTTTTGATTGGCTAGGAACCAATGGTTATTATAGTTAGTTTGGGTGATTTTAGCTTCTAGGATAAACAAAAGGTCTATTTGGTTGGCACGGGCTAAATTTTTGCAACTAAGTACTTTGGTTGGGTTATTGAACCCTCGTAAGTTTCATGCTGCTATGTTGGGTAAGGTCATTGGGACTTTGAGTTTGGGGTAGAGACTTTTTTGGCTTGTTTGCCTCTAGTTTGTTTCTAGTTTTGGCTAGTAGGTTGTTGTATTTTGGTGGAGTTAGAGCTAGATGTGGAGGTTTCATTGGTTGAGCTGGGTATGTTAGGTTGGTGACTGCGGGGAGATGTCTGTAGTGGGCTGCTATGGTTTGGATTGGTAGTGATTGCATTGGCAAGAGAGGCACTGTTCGTAGGAAGATTGTGGAGAAGAGAAGGGGGATGACTATCTTCCAATTTGTCTTGATCATTCAAGGCGTAAAATTTGTTTTTGGTGTTTATAAAGGCTGGCTCTTTTGACTGAGCAATGATTTATGTGATGTCTTGGATTTCTCCAGAAGGTGAGTTTAAGTTCGGTAGAATAGTTCCAGGATATGGGTTTTGCTCTTCAGGTAGGATAGATAACTAAGGAGTAAAGGTTGGCTAGGTTGGTTTATTTTTAGTGGTTGAGGAGGTTTGGAGATGAAAAGTTTGGGAGGAGGAGTAAGACGCGGTTTACGACTTGTACTCCTACCTCTAGGCTTAGCGATAGTTTGGGTTTCTAAAATTGGATCTTTTGGGCATAAGGTTGGGGGATGCATGATTGAACCGCACTGTGTACATCGTTCAGGCTTCCATTCATATTGTATTCTCAAGGGGAAAGAATTTCCATCAACACAATAATAAATTTCCTCGGGTAGCAGAGAATTACTAGTGATTTGGACACATACTCTCGCAAATATCAAACAGGTCTTGGCCGCAATAAGAGCATAAACGGCTATAGGAATTCCTACACAGCTAGCAAGTTTAGATATACCTTCCGGAGTCCAGAGAGAAAGTGGCATGTTCAGGATTTTAATACAAAGGGGGGTGGAA